TCAACTCAATAAAACTCATGTTCATTTTAATATTCATAATTAAAAGAATTTGGTATTCGGTCAATTAGAGGTGCACTTGGCAATTTTGTTGAGTGTACGTAGTTAGCATTTTTCATCTTCTGAATCTAGTGTCGTGTTAGTTCGATAGCGATGGCTATTTCTTAATGAAAGATTTCAGAAACCTTTTTAGAAAATTGGGAATAACTAAACAACTTAATAGATATTCCTTTAAGTTTTTGGCAATATATATATATATATATATATATATAAAGACTCTTATTTATTTCCAACTTCTTATAAAAGTTTGGCACAAAAGGTATATTCTCCCCTTTTTTTTTAATGGATTTCTACTTCTACTTTTAAATTAAGTTAAATTAGTTTTTTATATTTTAGTTAAAAAATTTATCAAAAAAGGTAATCATATGTTAGTATTATGTCTTTTTACTTCAATACTTACTAAGTTTTTGGTGATTTAACAATTTTAAATCTATTTTTTTATGATATGATATTTTCTTAGTAAGTAATTAAATGAAATTGATTAACTCTTTTTTATTAACTAACTTGATAAGATATCATGCATTAAAAAAATAGAACCAAGATTATCAAATTAAATAGAATTTAACAAATATTGAAGAGGAAAGCTATGATAATGACTTATAATTAAGTCATTTGTTAAATTTTAACTAAGTTTTTTCAATCAGATTGTAAAATGATTAATTAATTTAACTTAAAAAGTAAAAATATAGATATTTATTTCAAGAAAAATATGAAAGTATATATCAATAATTATTAAAAATAAAAAAATAAATATACTTTTTGACTAAAATTTTTTCAATTTTAGTTTTTATTTTTATAGTTTAATCAATAAATTAATTCCATTAACAAAAGGGCAGGTTGTACCCCCCAAAAAAAAGGAAGGCAGGTACTTCGGCAATGTATATTACTACCACCAAATCTCACTGGAATCCACACAAATGTTCTAAAAAAACAAGATTAATAATCCGAGTTCGCCCAGAAACTTTCGGCTACTAAAGTACTTAAATGAAGGAGTATCCATTCCTACTGCCCACGGATCAACCCAACTTCCCCCAATTCTTATTACTAGAAAACCACCTTCCAAACTCCCTATTTCACCCATGGCATCCCTCAACCATTGGTCTTCAATGGCCTTAAACCCAAGAGGCATAATTAGATCCTAATCCCACCAAGGGTTTTAGGAGTATTGTGGCTTTCCCTCTAGGGCTTGAGGAGTTTTCTTCAACTTTAAGAGGCATTATTAGAAATGTAAGAAACTGCAACCTTTTCTGCAAATAAGTTTTGATCAAGCTCTCTAAAGAGAGCTTGCTCTTGTGAATATTCTTCAACTTTAGGAGGCATTATTAGAAATGTAAGAAACTGCAACCTTTCTACAAATAAGTTTTGATCAAGCTCTCTAAATAGAGCTTGCTCTTGTGAATAAAATCTAGATAAACCTCATCATGCAAGCAACAATCCAGTCTTGTAGGGGCTTAATTCCCTAATATCCTCCTGGTTTAGGTTGACATATATATATATATGCCATGCAACTTTTGCACCCTTGGCATCTCCTGCTTTTCCTTTGTACAAGAAAGCACTACAAATTCATTCAACAAACTTTTGATAACTTTCTTATAGATGATAAAACCTAAGCTTTTTGTAATCCCTTAAAAAATTGAAGTTATTAAATGCAACATAGAAGCAAATAAAAGGTGTTATGAACTTTTGATGTAATATATTACTTTTATTATTTAATGTTATAATTTTTTTGTTTGAAAAGTTAGAAAGCATTCCAGTTAATGTATACGTATCTTAAAACTAAATGTATCTATATCATTCTAAAAGTACACTTCATATAAAGTTGGTGCCTTGAAACTAAATCTATTCATACTTAAAGTGCTAACTTTAACTCTTGAAAAATTGAAGAAAAAAATCCTACCTCATGCCTTGAAACTAAACCTACCCATACTTGGGGTACTTTGGTGCTAGTCCTATCTAATGACACATAGCTTTTAGTATTTATAATTCAAGCAAATGTTCTTAGTCATCTAATTATAAATAACAACAACTATTCCCTAACAACATATTTAGACATATCATATTAACTGTTAAGGCATTTTAATACAGAGGATTTGGTAGAAGAAGAAAAAATAGAAGATTTGGACTTGAGACTTTAACTAACAAAATTAAAAGAAGGTTTTGATTGAGAAAGGAAAAAAAGTAAGAGGTATTAATTGATTTTACATGAGAAGTCCAGGGTTACTGAAAAAAAAAAATTAGAATTGATATTTCAAGCCATGGCGCTTCAATCCAATAAGCCTTATCCGATTTTCTCTTACTGCGCGCCATTTCTAGTTGCAGCAGAGAACTAAACATGCTCTTTGTAGCTCCTGATTGCTTCCTTTTTTCATCTTCTTCTTCTTCTTTGCTCTTCCCGTTTTCTCTAAAACCCAAAGCCATCCTCTTGAAGAGAACGAATGCAAACTTGGCGAGTCGAACTGGGGTGACTCGTCTCTGCAGAGCGAGTCTAATCACCAATCCTGACTCGTTCGAGGTGGGGCGACTCATCGGTAGCTATGGATTCATGAATGTTACGAGGTATCATTTTTCTCATGGAATTCTCAGTTCGTTCTCTTCTGGATCGCTGAGTTTAGGATTAATCTAGTGGTTTTAAGATCTGAGAGATGATGAGAAAATGGTGTTTATTATTTCTTGTTTGCAGCTACGCGGGGTTTCAGTCAGGGGCAGATCTTGAATTTTCTTCTCCAGGACAATTAAGAGTTCAAGATGTTGGAGAAGGCAGTGTAAAAATCAGGTAATGAAGGAAGTATAGCATTTTGATGGTGTTGGCAAATATGTAGAATCATATTCCATCTGCTACTGATGCTACCAACAGCAGTCCATTTGCAGGCTTTATGAAGGAAGAATAGCTCAGGGCCTGCTTAAGGGGACTCCTGTGATCTTTAAGGTCATATTATATTATGTTTCCGCCGATTATATTCTGTTCGCTAAAATTTTTAGTGTTTATTTTTTTGATGTGCTCTCAGATTAATCCCCAAATTTTTTAGCGTCATTTATAGAGAAAAAGAGGGAACCAGGGAAAAAAAAAAAGAACATTTTTGAGGGAGCTATACTGCGATTAGACTGTTTCTTCTGCTTGTTTTGTGCGTGTATGCTACTTGATTGATGTTGCCTCATGTTAAAATACTTCTTTACCAAGGAACATGAACAATTTACGTGATTATTAACTTGGAATGGGACTAATTGGCAGAGAAAGGCTTGATTTTATGTGCTTTAAATTCATTTTAAAAGAAACAAGAATTGGGTTTTGGGGGTTTGGACACTAGACTACTTCGTCAGCTCTGATATCATGACGAGAACATTTTAACCAAAAAGCTTAAGCCGTCAGGCGTTGATGGCCTATGAATATTGTAAATTTTTAACAGCCATGATGGCCAAAGATAAGCCACATAGCAGATTAATTTGTAAAGTACATTCACCTTCTCCTCCTCAGAAATTGAAAAGTATTGCTGGGTCCTTTCTTCATAAACTTATTGTTGAGCCTTTTCTGAAATTATGTAACGAATATCTTTTCTTCCCCATCAGCCTCCTCTTTAAGCAGTTAAGAATTTTTTTAAGGAATTCCTTTTTTATTCCTATTTATTTGTTCTCTGATATACAGACATACAACTGGATGAATCCTCTTAGTTTTGCTGTATATGTTGAGACTATAATCTGAAAAGAGAAAAGGCATTCCTTTATTATATAATTTATATTCAATGTATTGACAAAGTTGCTTAATTAGTTTAGTTTAATTAGATTCTCTTTCCTCAAATTCATTATTGTTAAACTTTGAAGGTTTATCCTGGGAAATGAGGTGGTGGTGTTGAGGCTGATATGATGGCTGCCAATGAACTCAATGCTCATGCATTCCTCCAGGTAAGATTTAGTGAGAAAGTAAGTTTTCAACAGATCAGTGTGAGGTGTGAAGCAGAATTCTGATTAATCTTGTCTCTATGACTTTTACAGAGCAGTCCAAGAGGTATATGTAAGAATATCCTATTACTTCTTGGTCGATTTGAGACAAAAACTGGGGAGAAGGTCTGTCATTTTCATAAAAGCTATATGAGCTTTTTTCCTTCTTGGTATATTTAAATTGAATTTCTTAATTTGATACAGTGGCTTGCTTTTCGTAATGATGGAAAGTATAATGCGGCAGATTATGCAAAAATTACAAGTGAGCAAATATCAAGAACTCGCTCTCTCGGAGAAAAGTCACTTGGTCCTTCTGAGCAGAATCAAACAATTAAAAGCAGAAGGCATTTTGTTGTTAAGATACTCCAAGGTGCCATGAGTGGATTAGCCTACATGCATCATCACGATAGATTGCATCAGAGTCTTGGACCAGCTTCTGTTGTTCTCAAGTATGTGTTAAGATATCCATTTAATTGCATGATATTTATATTTATGTTTGTATTCCTTTTTTATTCAGAAGATTTAGATTTGTTATCAACAGCATATCATCTCTTTTCACTTCATGATATTCTGTTTGTCTTTTTTTCTCCTTTAATGGCAGTACCATAATAGAGAGTGATGCTCCTTACTTAGTATCAAGAGTTCGGGATCTAGCCTTTTCTGTTGACATCAGGTATGGCTGTACCCTTCATGCAAAAAATATCTTCTGTATATGTGTTTAAAACTAATTTTTAGCTTTGTTTTTTTATTAAGATTCTCATATTGTGTATTGCATGAGCTCATGCAGTTGCCTTTCTAACAAGTTCACCATTTCTCATATCTTTAAGTAATGAATGGGCTGAAATTTTGTGCTAGTATGATTTCTCCTAACTAAAGTCTCAGTTATGTTGGAATTATCAAGAACTTGTTTTAAAAATTTTTGAGGGAACAACAATACATAATAGAGCCTATCAAGAATCAAATCATTACAATGTATACTGCAAAAAGGTCATGGCTTTCTTTTATTGTTGGTTCTCTAGCGTTAAGGGGGGAAATCCCATATCAATTAATTGAGAAACTTTTGGACTTAATATATTAGGAGCTACTCCACTTATTTTCAATCAGTTTTAGGTTGGGTGTGCACATGGTATCAACACCCAGGCGCCATTTTCTGTTGAGACCATTTAGTGTGCAACCCAGGGGAGGTTGTTGGAAGCTGCTAGCACTCTCCAGGGGAGGTTGATAGTGGCTGGTGAGCATGGTTGTTAGCCAATTTGCAGGGATGATGTTCATGTTGGAGGATTCGTGTTAAGTTGGAAAAACAACAATTTAGGGAAACTTGTGGACCATGAATGATGCATGGTTTCCTTCATAATTATTTTAAGTTAATGCCATCATATAGCCTGTAAGATTGTCTTTCTGTTTCCTTAGGTTTTCAAATTTGGAAGAAGATCCAGGAAGACTTGCGGAGGGACTTTGGAGGAGAGCATTTGCTGCTGGTGCCATCACACCTATGGAGAAAAGAGCCTTTGGAATTGCAGATGATATGTAGTGTCTAAAATCCAAATTTTGGGTTCATTTTAACGAGCAACATTGTTTATCCACTTTTCATATCATGGACTAATTTCCTTTTGTTCCTAGCCAGATACGAAGCAGGTCTTCTTTTTGCATACTTGGCTTTTGTTCCATTTTGTGAAGCAGGAACCATGGATAGCCTTTCTTTGCAAGTGAGTGTCTGTTGATAGTTACTTTATTATTGAAAATTGCTTTTGTCCTTTTTCCTCTCCCGCCCACTCCCCACACCAACCCTCCCCCCCACAAAAAAAAAAAAAAAAAGAAAAAAAAATGAGAGCAAGAAAAGAACCACTTCAAAATGATGTGAATATCTGTCTGATTTATCTCTTCATTTGTGGATGAATTCACAGCGGCTTTTGGAAAGCACCTTCCAACTTGATGTCATGGCTACAAGAGAGTAAGATATGCCATTTTACATTATTCACTCATTATACTTATTGTTGTCCTGTATATTGTTCCTTCAGTCATATTTTAATTTTTAAGATAATAAAACAAATATAAAACCATCACCTTATCTTAACTTAAGAGAACACTCATTGAGAGTTCTGAATGACTTGCTTGTTTACTTCCCCTACAAATTTTAATGCACTTTGCGGTAGCTTACCCTTGAGTTGGAATGCATCTCATTCTTCCAATGTATGAGACCAAAGTTCAGAACCAGACCACAAAAGTAGTTTTCTCAAAATTAGAATATGAGGATAGTGCAAGGCAAGTTGTCCTCTTAAAAGTTTTTTTGGAGGACTTGTCTAAAAACATAATATTTTCAAAAACCGATTGTTGGATTGAAAGTTTTATTCATGTAGATCATATATTCATGTAGATCATGTGTGCCAATTTTCATATTGATCTAACACTTATAACCCTTTGATCAAAGAAACTCTATTTAATGACATATATAACGGTGTTAAATTTCCTATAATCAATGAAGTGGTTAGGCCTATTAGAACAATTTGAAAATTGGTATGTATGATCTATGTGAATAGAACTTTCAATCCAACAGTTGGTTTTTAAAAATATTAATGGGAATTAAGAGTTTTTAGACATATCCTCCAAAAAAAATTTAGGAGGATGACCTGCAAAACACTTTTCCCCTAGAATATTATAATTATAATTGGGAGGTTCTCCATGTTACTCTAGTAACCAATAAATATGGTCTGTTTGCCACTGATCCCTGTGCACTGTCTAAACACAAAACAAGGATGACATGGTGCCAATCAGCCCCACCCCTTATGGAGTTCTTTACCAATATTGAGAATATAAGGTTCAATGGTTCATCATCAATTAATGCCAATGAAAATGAGCTTGATTGGCAATTTTATGTAAGAATGATTAGTTCTAGTTCCATGCTTATGTTTTCATGATAAGGATCCTAATTTATAGCCTTTTATCAAGTAAATACTTAATGTGCAAACTCAGAAGATTCATATATTTGTATGTTCAGATTTAAATGGAAATAGGGCATCATGGAACTAAAGGGTCATACGAACTGCTTTTGATGTAAATCAGCTTAGATTGCTTTATTGTGATAAGCTTCAGTTACTATTCCAGAGTTGTGAGAAACTGAAACCCCATTACGTGGATTCAAAATTATTTGTCAAAATCATGTTGCAGAATCAATATCCTAGCCTTGCCTGTTGCCTTTGGACCTTATGGGCGTATCCACCGCCTATTGTCGATTCCCTTTTTTTTTCTCTCTCTCTCTCTTTCTCATTCAGTATACCTTTAGTGCAGCACCTCCTATTTACCTTTCTTTAATGTTTTCATTATTCTTATTTTGGCAGGTATTGTTTAGCTGATGACCGCTTGCTAGAAGCTGTCAAATTTCTGGATCTCAGTAATGGTGCTGGTTGGGACCTGCTTCAGGTTAACTAACATTCTGAAATTTATTATTATTGCCAATAATTTTTGTTATTTACCATGATTTTTTTGTTATGTGGATGCCATTCATCCAACAACACTCTCAAAGAACTTCGTAAGAAGGGGACTGCTAATGTGTGGGTGTGTTGGTAATTTCCTTGGGTGGGTTGGGGGCTTGTTATAACCATAGGCACATTGTATTGAACTTTTCCCTATTTTGTGTGTACCTATTTCAAATAATAACAGGCTGGAATAAATTAATGGGGATTTTTTTCAAACTGCTCTAGAATGTGGATATTAATAAAACTCTTTGATAAACCAAACACTACCATCTTTTTATGTTTTTCCTTATGGAATTGGTTTTTTGTATTTAGAAACCTCCTTAGTACATAGGATCTTTTAAGCTTTACTCCTGTATTTTACTCTTTTATGCCTCAAACCAACATCATTTCTATTTTAGTAATTTTGTGATATTTTCTAAACCATGATTTTTCAGAAGAATGATTCAACAAGGTATTTAACATCTGAAAACCAAAGATTTCGCTTCCATCTTTTCTTTCTGTCCTTGTTTCGTCCAGGTTTCAAGAATGATATTCAAGAATTTACAATGTCGTGTTTTCCCGAAGTTCAGTTTTCAAAACAGGCATTATGTTCAACAACATTGTTGTTGTCTTGGTGCAGGCAATGCTGAATCCTGACTTTAGAAAACGGCCAATTGCAGAATCTGTTCTCAATCATCGATTCCTGACTGCTGCTGTTCATAGTTCCAAAGATTGAACCAACATAACATGATTAACATCTTTTTGTCAGCACATGTTTCTTTGAGTGAGTTCAAATTTTATTTAAGAACTATTTCTTTTCTTCGTTGGAGGACTAACTCTTCAGAATGTATAATTACTTAACCGCAAATCTCTTCTAGAGTTGTTTCAGGATACCGAATTGCTATATTGCTTTTGATTGATTTACTTATCATTGACATCTCGAAGTAGTTCTTCTAATAGTGCTTAAATGAACTTTTTCTTTATTATGCATGAGATCCAATATCTTAAGACATGAAATATCACCTCTCCTTTGTTAATCTCCCTAACAGTGTGTTTCTTTTGAGAAGGGAAGGAGATTGAGTTCACCTTCCCTACGTTTGGATTATATACTTATAAAAGGGGTCAAGGGAGATGAAGGGGTGACAAAGCCCTCCCCCTCTTTTCCAGCTCGTGACTGGCTCAATTTCGAGGGAATTTTTTTTTAAATGTTAAATTTGGGGTGTTATGTGCAATTTTGATCCCTAAACTAATTTTAGCACGTTTCTTAGTTCCTTAACTATTTAAACAGCATAAAATAGTCCTGTCAACAGAAATACAAGCGGCCAGTTACTTGATTTTAAAAAGGAAAATAATTTTGCCATAATTTTTGGGCACAATTTTTACATACATCCTTAAATGTCATGCATTGATTGGCTCTTTTTATATTAATTGAACTTATGATATTTTATATATCTAATTATCTAATAATTTATGAAAATTATAAATAAAAATTATAAAAAGAAGTTTTATAACTTATATTTTAAGGGTGTATTTATTATTTTTTTATTATTAATTTATATAAAAAATATTTAAAACCTTTATTTTTAACAACAATATTATGTGAAATAATTTAATTTAATAATTAATAAAATTTAAGTTAATTTTTATTTTTATATAAATTAATAATAAAAAATATAATAAAATACACTTTTTATCTTTATTCTTCACGTATGGCACCTGGTGGACGATTCATTGTAAAAAAAGGTTCTTCGCACGTCATTGCCCTTTTAAAAATGCAATCATTTAAAAGTTCAATCTTTTAGTGATGCACACATTACACATGGGACCCAATGCCATGTCGGACAAAAAAATGCCACATCAGACTTTCACTCTTCGCTTGACACCAAAAACATATTTGGGTCGGCTCTCTAGCCGTCCCATGCTAATTTATATTTTCTTTGGTCTTTTTAGTTGTTGTAGTCTTTTAACTTTATGTTGAATTTTTTTTTTCCCCCACAAACTTTATGTACATTAATTTAATAATTTTATATAGAAAAAGAACAATAACTTTTTATCTAATTAAAAATATTTAATAAAAATTACATAATTTTTTTTAATTGTTCTCTATTTATCATACAAAATTACTTAATCAAACTTTATATTAAAGTTAAAGTAAGATAAGTAAATCAAAACCAAAAAAGTATTTGTGAACTCTTAATTAATGAAATTTTAGATTTGTTTTTAAATTATTGTAATTATTATATTATTTTCTAAAACCATCAGGCATCTAGAATGTTAAAGAATGCCTAATCCCATAGATTAAGAACTTAGATCCACAATACATGTGATCAAAAACTAATGGAGATAAAAAAATTAGGAAGAGTGGATATTTAACATTAGATAGACTAGAACGAAAGGTGGTGTGAATACTTACGCAAGGGGCAAAAAGCCTACTTTTAGCTCCTCATCTTGTCAAATTTAAAAATTTTAGCCCCTCACCTTATACGATAACATTTTTAACCCTTTACTTTATTAGATTTGTAAGTTTTAACATCTCACCTTATACTATGATATTTTTAGCCTCTTACCTATTAAAATTGAAGAAAATAACTCTAATTTTATAACATTTTGTTAGTTCTGTTAGCTAACCGTTAACTTTATTAGCTGACTGTTAGTTGATTGTTAGTTGTCAAAAACTTTCTTTCACTTAATAGAGTTAACAGAACTAACTTTATAATATTTCGTTAATTCTATTAATTGGTTATTAATTGATTATTAGTTGATAAAAATTTACTTTCAACTAACAGAGTTAACAATTAGTTTAAAGTGAGGGTTATTTTCTTCGATTTTAATAGGTGATGAGCTAAAATCTACAAATCTAATAAGATGAGAGGCTAAAAGTGTCATAATATAAGATAAATGACTAAAACCTTTAAACTTGATAAAGTGAGAGGTTAAATAGGTTTTTGCCTAGGCCAAGGAAACCTATGTGAGAGCTGCTATATCTATCAAGTGTGTATCCGTGGTCAAAGTGCTCCTAATATATATTGAACACCTTTCAATCTACCAGTCTAAGAAAGATTGGCCCATCTTGCCCACACCGTAATTGGCAAGAAACAAGAATACAGCCAGCTTTAAATATAGAATAGTCGAAAATGGAGAAAAAACGTAATTAAGGATGTTAATATTATATTGGTTTAAGTACCATTTTGGTCCCTCAACTTGTCACTTTGGTACCAAAATTGTCCCTCATCTTTAAAAAGTACCAAAATTATCCTTAAACTTTCATTTTTGGTACCAAAATGGTCCTTCCGTCAGTTAAGTGCACAGGTGGCACGTTAAAATGCCACAAAATCACTGATTTTTTTTAATTTTAATGACATATAAATCCAACAAATAAAATCTTGCCACCATGGCATGTTTTTATACACGTGGCATATTTTTTTACACGTCATATTATCATTTTTTTTACTTTCCCTTTTAATGGGGTCCACATGACATTTTTTTAACTTTTCTTATTCTTTCTCTCTCTCCTCTCTTCCCTCTTCTTCTTCCTCTCCAGGAGTCGCCTGTGGATTCTCCGAGAATAAACCAC